AACTCCAGCAATAAACACAAATCCGTTACAACATCCATCATTAAGCCTCTTTAACTTTTGTGATCAACTCTCTTTAATGCAAAATATATTGCCAAATAATTGCACTAACATTTAGGTCTTAATTTTCGTCTGATTTTCTTAAAAAAGTAATATCAGATTTAAATTAAAGGAATTGTAAAGGGAAACGGTTGAAGATTTTCAAGGATTGAAACATCCAGAACCAGAATCAGTTTTCCAAAACCCAGTACTTTATCTTCTCCAAACCGATTTGTTTAATCTCCATGAAGCGTTTCTATGTTTATTTATATCCAAACACTTATCAAACCGATTCTGCTTTGAAATATGCATTAATCTGTTTTTAAAAGTTTCAAGCACCCCATAGTATAGTAACTGTCCGGTATAAATCCATGGCAATCTCATCAACCAATGTTATTTGGATGTTATTGAAGAAAGATTTGTATTTTATTTTCACTTATTAGCAACCTTTTATGTAGTATTTAGAGTCATTTACGTGTACTTATGGATCTATACATTGTCACTAATTATGGGCTCAGCTGATTTCGATATAAAAGTAGGTTCCCGAAAAAGGAGGCCTTTGTCTAAGGTATAGGATTAAACTCCTTCCCTATTGAAGTACAATACACTTCAAATGTTCTTACCATTATCTAATATTTTGGTTAAGGATTCTTTGTTGGACTATTCCTCTTTACAATCTCATCTAGGCAACTTTATTCTTTTGGCAAGTCATTCCAATTAGCCTTTCATCATGATTGATTCAATGTTGGTTAATATCAGGAACTTTCAGCGTCTTACGTAATATAACTCATGCACTAGACATCTAATTACTTCTCTTCAATGAAAATGTCTCCTTTGAAACCCTAACTTCTTTGGTCATGTAAACATTTTCCTGTACAGGTGCCTCTATACCACTTGTATCCTGTCTAATCCTTTTATCTCATTGGGTTGTTACTTGCTAGGCCTCAGTCTGCCACCCACCTTGTGTGGCTTTTTACTACTAGATAGATCGGAACCTCAAGTTAGAGATGACTTCTGGAATGTGTTATGAACCATTAAGGTGGACAGATTTGTACCTATTTAATAAACCATTAAGCATTTAAGCTGTGCAACTGTGAATTTGGATAAAAACTATTTTATGTAAACCATTACTTGTTTCATGTTAAATTAAGAGGGAGTTCCTGAATCAGGAGTAGAACATTAACACAATATGAGTAAAACAATGACAGAGTTCACAAATAGGATGCTTGTGTTTGATTCCTAAAACATGATCTATTTAATCTTAATAAAAGAATAAAGCCCATTAAGTATTTGCTTAATGGAATTCTCTCCATTATAGGAATGAGAATATGTTTTAGGTTTGCTCCTATGTAGGGAGTTCTCTCCAATTAAGAATTTGTCAATGTTTAACTCCTACTTTGAGCAATTTCTTATGTAAATGCATATTGTATCTTGTTATTAGTGATTAGTGTTCATAGCTTGAAATTTGTGATGAGAATGCCCTATGGAGAATATCGATCTTTGTGTAGCTGCACCACATAGGTTTGGGATCAAGACTGGGAATGATTGGATTATTGGTTGGATCCTAATTATATTTAACATATATTGCAGGGGCTCTCATATTATCGCAACCCTCTATCACAACAGCATGGGATGATTGAATCACAGGAATCATCTTCATCAAGTGTGGAGAAAATGGCCAATAGGGAGAAATTTGCTCCACGGTTTGATGGATTACGATTCATTGAGACTCTAATTACAGCTCATAGGTGAACTTGGATTAGGTTCCAGCAAATGGAGGTTGTTCGTTGTTAGGGGTATTGGGTAATTAGTTACTGGAAATTTCACCTTCATTCTTTTTGTATTGAACTTTGGCTGATATTATGCTGTGATCTGTTGATTGGTTGTTGTTCAACTGTTCAAGGGACTGATCACTACATTGTTTACTTGATCTCTGTTCCTCTTGGAGTCTTGGTGCCCTGATCTTACGAGGCTTATGCTTGAAATTCATGGTTTTGTGTTTTGGCCGACAAAATCTAAAACTGCACTAATATACTACGTATAAGTTTGTGCCATTACCGATCCATAAGGCTAGTAAAATAATTGGGTCATCGTATTTGATAGAGTATTAAATCTTAGAGAGAAGTGAGAGCTAGAGAGAAAGCGAGTAATTAATATTTCTCAATCCCCTATAACTATCTCTTAGGGGGGCTATTTATAGAAGTAAATGTGAATTTGGGTTGCTAGCCTTGGGCTTATGAGAACCATTACAATAACAAGGCCCCTTTTTGGGCATAATAAGGCCTAGGCATGGAGCTGGGTCCAGGTCGGGCCTAGGCCCGGCCGGGTCTGGATGGTTGTGATTTAGGCATGGGACCGGCCCGGTTGTCTACTGGTTCCAGGTCGGGCCGGTTCACATTTCACCTATCCCGAAACTAGGGGTGGACTCGGGCCGGGCGGTCCGACCCGGAACCGGCCCGGACCGGTTACTGTTTGGCCCGGCCGGAGGCCCGGTGGGTCCATCGGTTTGGCCCGGCCTGGGTGATGGCGGTCCGGGCTCGAGCCCTGCTTTAGGTGAACCGGCCTGGCCGGTTCGGGCCCTGTCCGGGCCGGATTTTAATTTTTTTTTTTTTGAAATTTTTTTAAGTTTTGGGGTGGATTAGGTATTTTGGGCCATTTGAGGTGGTTTGGGGTTGAGGGGTAGGGGTAGGGGGTTAAATAGGAGAACCAAAAAAAAAGGGTCGGTTTGGACCGGCCTGGCCCGGTTTGGCCCGGAACCGGCCACCGGCGGTTTGGGCTCGGGCCCCAGTTTTCTAGCCCGAGGCCGGCCGAGCCCGGGCCCGAACCGGCCCGAGTCCAGCCATACCCGGAACCGGTACCCGGTTCCCGGGCCGGGCCGAGCCGGGTGGCCTGAAGTGAGTCCAAGCCTAATAAGGTTATTAATGGGTTGGGTACATGATTTATCTGTCTAAGTATAAAAATGCATTTTGCTGGAGTGTCTTGGCCGATGTGGGTGTTTGGCCGATGCGGTGCTAGGCCGAAGGGAAACCCACTTCACCTTGGGCCTCTGGGTCGTGATATGAATACTTTTGGGTCTAGCTGATGGGGTGCCATCTGATCGATGGGACACCATGTGGGTGGCAGTCCTATGTTTTGACCTTCTGAGTGTGGGCAATGGGGCTTGGGTCCATATACTCTGTCAGGAGTCCCCCACTCTCTGAGCTGATATGCAGACGAAGTGAAAGAGAGCAAAAGCACTCAATTTAGGTACCACACATCAATTATAATGCAGGACTGCTTCTGGATAAATCAATTATGGTTTTGGTTTGATTTAAGGGTGTCAATTTTAGATTGTTTCTAGTTTTTTCTTCTTTTGTATAAATTCAAATAAAAACTGAAATGAGATATGGAACTAGTCAATAATGATCTTTTTTGGATGATTGAAGTTGATTTGAATTGCTTACCTAGTTTTAGACCAGAATAGGAGAATTAGGTCATTCGATGGTTTCTTTATATATCTCGTTCTCATTCAGTTCTATGTCAACCTAGAATGTATCCACTATTACACTCTTAGGCCTTAATCCAACATGTGTTCAGAAACCGACTCATCATTTATCAATCATGAAATGTCATTGTAAGACTTAATCACATGCATAGAGTATGGACTTCCAAATCATTTAGTGTAAGAAAAATCTCAAAAAATGAGCTAACTGTACGGGGGTTGGTAATGGAAAATGCACTCAAAGGCCCAAGAGTGGATACATTTTGAACACTGCATGCACAATAGATTATCAGTAAAAAATGAAAAACTGAAGAGAATTGAAAGTAGTATCGTCTGTTTTGGAACCCATGCTGAATCAAATTTGATAAAAATATGATATTTTTTTATCATCAAAACAGGCCTCTATTTATATTAAAAGATTCAGGAAAATAAAACTGACACCAACTGAAACTCCAACAACTATGACTGAGAGAGCAACACGAATCGCTAACCATGTAGTGGGCTTGACACAGCCAAATATGTTCCCATAGATCCAACCATACCCAATGACATAAAGAGAGACAAAAAAAACTCAAACAAATTGACAAAACCAACAACAAAAGTGGACACAAGAAAACAAATAACAAACAGATAAAAACTACAAGAAAAACTTTCACAAACTCTAGCACCTCGCACATCCCATGGTGGTGGTTCAGGAGGAGGTCGTACCACCGATACCAGGCTAATTGATATTCCATGACCTTTGACTGCCAAAAACCAAGCATCAATCCTCCGTCCCTGCATAACCAAACGCATCCCTGCTCCGTGCGACCAGAGTAAACGGATAGGCGGCGCCGATCTTCTCCAACGACGACAGCCATGTCGCTTCCTCGAACCTTGATCACAACGCCGATCTCCTCGAGCCATGACAACAAATCCGCCCTCCTTCGATCTCCGCCCTCCGCGTCTGACCTGGACTCCAGCCGAGCACCAGCGACCAAAGGAATACAAAGTCGATCTTCGACAAAGTCGAAATCGGAAAAAGACTCCAGCGGTCGACATAGTCGAAACCCTAGAGAGAAAACTCAATGATAAAAATATGATATATAAACTAAGAGATTAAGAGTGATTTGTGTGGACCAAGTGAATATGAAAAGTATCTTACAAAATGGGACAAAGCAATTATTATAAAATTGATGACTTCCATAAAAACATTAATCAAAATTATTGATCAAAACTTACTGTCATTAATCAAGAAAGTCAAAGATTGTGTCAACTGTCAATAAAGCACCTAACAAAGCTTTTTTTAGCACCTAAGTACCTAACAAAGCCTTTTTTAATAGATTTTGAAATGATCATTAACCTTGGAATTGAATAAGTATCAAGTATTATTGAACATAAACATCATCACCCAGACTCCAAATTGAGAATCTAAATACCCACGGAGCAATATGCTTTAAATCAACGGCGGTCCACACATTTCCACCACAATATACACCTTGAATAAATAGTCAAGAATCAAGATCCAAGAAATGGAGGAATCTTGTATTGGTATGCTGAATAAATGGTGCAAAATCCAGATAAGCAAAGTCAAACCGCCAATTTAACATTACCAAAAATATTTATTACTGGTCAATAACTATTTATAAGAGTGAATAAACAAGAAAGAACTGCTTCAGTAATGGACGAAAGAGGAATGAAGCAGAGTTCATCCTTCATTTAGATACTAACCCTGCATTGATTGATCCATTCCTCTATGAATTTCCAAAATTTCCAGAAATAAAAGAAGAAAAAGGCAGCACTTCAAATAGATTGAAAGAATTCCAGAGCTTCTACATGTTGTGTGGGTAGGAGCTTAGTGGATGGGCATAGTATACAGAGATGTGGGATGTTTCTTTGCTTCTTCCTTCAACCCTAAACTCTCCATGCTCAGTTGATCATGTTGGCAGAAGCAGCAGCTTTCTCTAAGTATATATATAAGTGAATCGCCACTTGTTCTTTTTTTTTTTTATGTTTGAGGTCATTGTTTAACTCTCACCATGAGGACAAGGTGAACATTCCTCCTGAATATCAATCTCAACTCTTCGTTTGCATCAATCCCGATCTTCCTGCATATATATACATATATATATATAAGGCAGATAAGAGGAATGCTCCTGTCCAGACGTCCGGACAGGAGCCGCCGTCCGGCCGGCGGCGTTTGGCCGCCTTCCCGGTGGAATTTTTTGATGAAATTTTTATGGCATGTTCTCCATCAAGTCTAGTTTATCCACAAAAAAATTCAGCCAAAAACTCAATCGGGAAGGTCGTCAAATGATTTTTGCAAGTTAACTGGTCCGGAAAATACATATTCCGGACCAGTTAACTTGCAAAAATCATTTGACGACCTTCCCGATTGAGTTTTTGGCTGAATTTTTTTGTGGATAAACTAGACTTGATGGAGAACATGCCATAAAAATTTCATCAAAAAATTCCACCGGGAAGGCGGCCAAACGCCGCCGGCCGGACGGCGGCTCCTGTCCGGACGTCTGGACAGGATCTTTTCTAAGGCAGATAAATTCTGGAATATATATAAAATCCAGATAAATGTGGAAATAAGCAGTACCCAATTTTGGAACCCTTCTTTCCGACAAGAATCTTGCGTTGGCTAATCTTTGGTGTTATTAAGTGCTGCTCAATTCTGAGAGAACCGTCTCGTAATTCTTTCCAGTCAACTAGTCGATGATCAATGCCGTAAGGGATTTCCTGAATTTTTAAAATAAAAACAGCCTTGTGTTGAATACATGTACATACACTGAACTTTCCATGCAACCAATAACTCATCATATACTGTTAGTCTGTAACTCCTCAAAAATAACTTTTAAAAAGACAAAAAAAGGTAGTACCTGATGCACATTATCTAACAGCTTTTCTCTAACAATTTCCATTGCTATGTTCTTCATAACTTCGTCACTCATGACAAATGGTATTTCATCCCATGGTTTTTTGACTGCCTAAGCATATCATAACATTAATCACATCATGAGAAATTAAGTAAGAAAGCACTCTTATATGGATATGTTGAGAAAAGTATAAAACAGTGAAATTGCATAGGCCGAACTGTTTTAATGGGAAGAACAAATCACTGAGCATCACACTGCTACATGAGGATAAAACATCTTCTATTTTTTAGACCATATGATAGAAAACATATAAATAATACTTCCTCTGTCCCATAATGTAAGATACATGGATGTTTGGTGCGGTTTTTAGGAAAATAAAGTGCAAAGTAGTTTTTTTTACATTTCTAACCTCCAAAAGTAAGAAAGAGTACAATGTGTCCACAAAAAGTAAAGAGTGAAATGATAGATAAAGGGATAAAGTAGAAAAATAAAAAGTTAGTGGAGTTCAGTTTAGTTAAGTGATCATATTTTTGGAACTACACTAAAAGAAAAGTGTGTCTTACAAAGTGGGACAGTGGGAGTAGTTAATTTGAGAAGGAAAAGAAATTGCACACTCATCACCCGAACTAAATGTTTACTGAATGAGTAAAATGTATACCATGTTCAGAAGCTGTTGGGATGTCAAACAGTGTACGGTCGCAGATGGAAATGGGCTATAATGATTTTACACGTGATCTTTCATGTGGATAAATTGCAGTAAAGTAGAAGAAAATACTTGCCTGCTTCATCAAGTATTGCGTTAAATCTTTCACCCCTGATCCCTTTAGCCCAGATATCATAAAATGCCTAAGAAAAGAACTTTTGATTAAAAAGACATTGAAAGGAGCATTATCATCCATCAAACAAGGCTGAACTTACTCGTCATATCCAGGAAGATGTTTGAATTCCTCAGTAACCTTCAATAAATCTTTCTTTTTGTTAACCAAATCAACTTTGTTCATGCACAAGACACGCTTTTGCTTTTGGCCAACTTCAGAGCCCATCCGTTCAATCAATTTCACTACTCTCTGATCAGGCCTATATATGATCGGTTAAATTCAACGATGAGTTAATCATTCCTCTAGAATAGAAACATTTCCGAATAATACATATTGAAACTTCTCTGTTATGCCAGTTACATATTTACATACTCACTTCGTCCCGTAATAAACCTCGGTCCCGTAATAAAGCATCAAGATTAACTTTACACGTTTTTAAGTGGAATAATTTTGTGTATTGACTTTCCAATGACACAAGAAGAAACATATCACACCCAACTCCTCTAATCCACGTCTATTTGGATCTTTCTCATGATAAGAATGATAAGACAACAAATATTGCATACAAAACTGGTATCTCGAAAAGGAGAGCCTTGGTGCACCGGTTACAGTGTCGTTGTGTGACCGAGAGGTCACGGGTTCAGCTCTTGGGAGCGACCTCTTGTAAAAAATGACAAGGGAAGGCTTGCCCATGAACCCTTGTAGTGGGACCCCTCCTCAGACCCTCGCCTTGCGGGGACGCCAATGTGCACCGGGTGCCCTTTTTTAAACACTGGTATCTCGTCTCCAGTTCAAACTTTAAACCATGGTAAAATACATCATTGTACAACCACAATGTCTTACCAAGTAAATATAATGGTAAAAGGAAATTATTACGTGTACGATCAATAACTTATATAAAAACCATTTCTTGACAAAAAAATCCTGAAAAAATTATTAAATGCTTTTGGTGTCTTCATATGTTGAATAAACATTTTATGATTAGCATTTAGATGAATTAAAGGGAAAATATAGATCAAGCGCTAACAAGGCCAGGTCAAGAGAAAACTAACTTGGTAAGGTGTCTATGAACATCAAATATGACAACGAGTACATCGTAAAGACTAACAGAACGCCATGCACTCTGAACACGCGCTTTCATATCTTTATGAGGGAAACCAGTTTTCTTTAGCAACAGACCTGGAGTATCAAAGAAACACTGCAAAATCAATTAGTCAAAGTCCAAACAGAATGAGAATAATAAGAATATATATCTATGCAAATAGAGCAAGAAACATTGCACTTCATTGTTTTAAGTTTTCGACTTTTGGCATTTGAATATATAGCACGCTAAAATAAGGTACCCTTCGGTCCCACTATGGGTGCTCCAATTTTCTAATATTTCTATCACATAATGTTTGCCCCATACAATATGTGGTCACATACTCATATTTATGTGGCTCAAAATCATTAATCATCTATGCTTCACAAATTCAATATCAATCACACAATACCATTTTTCCTTAATTTGTGTGCAACTTCCCTTTGTCCCAAATTTAATGGGAAGACATAGTACAATGCATATGACATACACACACACACACCTCTGAAGCTTCCTCACATAACTAACTCTTAGCCTCTAACTAGTTTATACTCGATTGCGTCCATATAGAAATAAATATACAAAAAAAGTTGTCTTAAAAGTCGATTTCATAACGAATATCACTCATTCAGTTTTTGTACTTGATGCACCACTAGATCAATTTTAGCAGCTGATGCGTCCATAATGTTGCATCGTGATTACAGAGGAAAATGGATTATCGAAGGGATAAAGGCAGACTTACAATTTGTGTGTCTCCTTCGGTCATCACTCCCAACACTTCATGTGTCGTAGTATTGATCTTGCGAGAAACTGCAGCAACTTTGGTCCCAACCTGGATGAGTAGGGGCTATAGTGAGAAAACCCAAAACTAAGTAAAAGGTTAAATCGATAACATTTAATAAGGGAGTGTTTGGAACTGATTCTGCTTGTGCTTCTTTTTTAAAGTAGAAACAGAATCAGAATTAGTTTTCAGAAGTTGGTCTCCCTCAGCTTCTAAAAAAACTGATTCTGGGAATATATTAGAGCACCATAATCACTTTTAAACTTTCACCCAAACACTCCAACTTCTGCTCCCTGAAGGAGCAAAAGCAGTTTTAAGAATCAGATCCAAACACCCTCTAAAACATACATCATGAAGGAAGTTACAGTGTAGATGACACACAACAATGCTTGAAGATTGCTCACATTGATGAATTCATCTTATAATATTCCAGAATAAACATAACCACACAATGGTCATGTATAAATTCTTTCACTTTCTTAGCCAGTGTGTACGATGGTGTTAGTTTGGCTGTTTAAGACAGTTTCTGCTATTTTAGACACCAGTACTTAGAAGAACTGGTTTTTGAGGTGTTTGTAAATTTTCTAGAAGTGATCCTGGTTTTCTGAAAGGACAAAACTGGATTTTCATAAAAAGTTCACACCAAGATGTTGAAAAGTGATCTAATTATCATTTTGTTTAGGAATCACATCATATGAATAGTTATACACTTCTACCAAACACTTCAGAACTAATCTGTTTTGCATACAGGCGGTACATCAGAATAGTAGAATGAATGTAAAAATTCTTTGAACTAATTGGATTTCACAGCACAAATTCTTATTTTATTTCTTAGAATCAAAATTCAAGCAATCCCTTTTATAACCACCCCTAAATGAGTAAGAGAGAGTGTCAGTGCAAAATATAGCTTAGTCACATAATTACAACAACACACCCCCCACTCCTCACACCACTCGCAACCACAGGTGCAAGTTGTTAGCAACAGCACAACCACCCAGAGTATAAAAATAGTTTGATAGCACATTAATAACATAGGGTCCATGAAGTCAGTAGTTTTCAAAAGATGCAAAGTACATCAGAAGACTAAGTTAATCAAATTTCATATATTGCTCATCAAAGCTTTTGTAGAATTTTCAAACTTTCAACCTTGCAGTGGCTCTTTTACCTCCTAATTTTGACCCATCTACAACCAAAGAAAAAAGATACCTCAAAAAATTTCTATCTTTTCAATACTTCAACCTTCCTGTGGGGTTTTCCATTCCTAAGTTGTATCGTTGAAAGAATATACTATTTATAAGAACTGCTTTATCTTATGTTATTTAATACACCACAAGATATAACTTATGGTGATGCACTCTCAGAATATATAACTTTTATTGAAGAGTTAACTATGTGTTCTGAGCAAACAAATGTGGACATCTGATGCCAATCATGGTTGTGAAGACAAACAATGAACTAAATCTCTTTCAAAGTACATAACTGTGAAAAAAAACTACTCTTGGTCCTTGTCCATAAATAGATAAACAGTCCATATAATACTTGAAGTTGATCACAATAAAAAAGTTGGACTATTGGAGTAAAAAAGAAAGTGAATTAGAGAGAGAAGACATACAATGGAATTGGTAAGAGAGGATTTTCCAGCATTAGGAGCCCCAATAATCCCAACAGACAGAGATTTCTGATCCTCCTCCTTCACCAACCCCCCATCCTCCTGCGCCTCACCTTCCTTCACAACCCGCCTATTAACAGCCTCAAGGAGGTTCTTGGCAAGAGCAGCAGCTCTCCTCCTCTTCTCTTCTTCCTTCAGGAAAACTCTTGAAGTACTCACCTGGGGAATATCTTCCCCAAACAATCTCCTCCTTGCTTCATTCCTGTACTTCTCATCCCAAGTGGGTTGAGGGCCAACATTGCTCTCCAAATTATCCGTTACATCCGAATCCAGTGCATAATCCGAGCTATCGAAAACATCTGAAGAACAAAATTCGTCTTCTTCTGAGGAAGATGAAGAAGGGACTGCGGAGGCCGAGGAGTGGTCAGTTTCTTGAGGTTGGGCTGAGTAAAATTGACGGAAAACATGTGAATTGAAACGGGGTATGCGGGGCTTGTGTGATGCTGATAAGCTCAATACTTTCAAAACTTTGAAGGGTTTCATTGCAAACTATAATCAGAATCTTCAGTTGGGCGGTTTTCAGGCTGAATGGCAGATCATCGGCGGGCTTCCTCTTAAGGGACCATGCGGGAGCTGCTGTAGCGGCGGATGGCTTTCCCTTAACTAGTTCATCAGACAACGGGGATGAGATAGAAGCGATTTTCAGACAGGCTCTTCGTTGGGGAGTGACTTTCCTGTGCAATAACAAAATTTGGGGCAGTGTTCAGATTATGGAGGTGGAGCTGTTTTATACGAGGCTACTGGGGCAGTGTTCAGATTATGCAGCCTAACACAAATTGGCACTGTTTGGACACTGTTTGGCACTGTCTGACACTGTTTTATGTAGATTTGTTTGCCATATAAGGCAAATAAGGAAGTGTAAAGAAGAATGTGGTACTGACAAAAAAGGAAAGTGTAAAGAAGAATGTGAACCGGAGGGAGTACATAAATAAAGATCACAATAGTAACAAATAGTGATAATTTGTGTTAAATTACAAGTTCATAAAGAAAATAATAATAAAAACCAAAGCACTCATTAAGTGAAAAGTATCAATTTATTGAAATCCTCCGATAATCCTCCAATAATCAAGAACATGTACTTTTTTCTTGAAACTAGAAAAGAACTAGTAATATCTGTGTGAAAAAAGAACAAACCCTTAGTACAACACTACAACCTAAACCCACAAGAAGATCATTTGTGTGAATAACGCCTCTTTTCAAGATAAGATGATTTTAATCATCAGAACATGAAAAAAGAGCCTCTTTTCAATAACCATTACTATTACTAGCAGCAGATTGAAACAAAGTAATCTGAAAGTTATCCACTGTTCAAACTAAGTAGCAGTACCTGGACACCATGGAATGCATAATAATGTGACAAGATTGCTCCTCCAAGATTTTGCTGAACTAACACAGAGTTAATCCCCCCTATTTGCTCATGAAATTCAAACCCTTTTGATTCCATATGGTTTTAATGGCAGTTTGATTTAAGTGAAACGCTGATTTATTTTTTGTTTAAGGACTACAGCTAACAACTTAACAAAGTATAAACATATTTATACCAATTTATTAAATATAAATAGTTTAATTGATTCATTAAGTAATTACTTTAAATTATATAAGTACATAACAACTTAATTTGTTAAATTTCATGATTTCATCAATTCATGTCATAGGTTAGTAGCCCAAAACCCTAAACCCCTATTCCCCAATGGTCCTAAGAAATGATTAAAATCACATATTCACATAAAGCCATAAATTACATAAAAACAAAATTAATTAATAATGAAAGCATTAATAAATTATAAATTTATTTCTTATTTGTTACGGAGGAGTGGACGACTTACCTAGAGTGGTGGAGTCGTCGATTTGCTGATGGGAAGAAGAAAACAAGTGAAGAACCGCAGTTCCCAGCAGCAGGCTTTCTTACTATCCTTTCAGGGTTTTGAGGAGGTTTGCGAAATTTTCATATCATAAGTTTGTAATTGTATGAGACCACGTGGATAGCAAGCAATCAATCGGATGGCTGAAAATTAGAAAAGAAAACGACCGGTTCAGGTTATTTCCCCCGCTGTAGTAGGGTCAATACATAATCGCTGCACTAAGAAGCTGTTCTCTTCGCCTGATCTGAATGTTTCTAATCTGAATTTTTTAAGTTCTGATCTGATCTGATCTGAATTTTTCTGATCTGATCTGATCTGATCTGAATCTTTCTGATCTGATCTGATCTGATCTGAATCTTTCTGATCTGATCTGAATGTTTCTGATCTGGTCTGATCTGATCTGAATGTTTCTGATCTGATCTGAATCTTTCTGATCTGATCTGATTTGAATATTTCTATAATTATAATTATAATTATAATTATTATAATTGCAATTACAAATATAATTTAAATAAAATTATAATTATAATCGTAACTATAATAATAATAATAATAATAATAATAATAATAATTAAAATTAAATTTAAAATGAAAAAATTTATACTTATTACACTAATTATAAATATAGATATAATTATAATTGTAATTATATTTTTAATTATAATTACTTATATAATTATATTTGTAATTATAATTACAATATTTATCTCTATAATTGTAACTATAGTTATCAATATTATTATAATTACTCCGTAAAATAATTACAATAGTAATAATAATAATAATAATAATAATATTAATAATTATAATCATAAATTATAATTATAAGTATAATTATAATTATTATAATTATAATTAATAATAATTATAATTATATTAACATTAATTATAATATTATAATAAAATAATAGTAATATAAATACAATTAATATTATAATAATGATATTATTATATTCATATTATTATTACAATAATATAATAATAATAATATGATTATTATTATTATAATTAGTACTATATATTATAATATTATATTATAATTATAATGATGATGATAATGATGATGATGATGATGATGATGATGATGATGATGATGATGATGATGATGATGATGATGATGATGATGATGATGATGATAATAGTCTTCTTAATAATTACATTTATATTACTATTATTATATTAAAATATTATAACTATTATTAATATCTTATTTTTGTTATCATATTATTATTAATATTATTAATAATAATTATATAATAATAATCATGATTGTAATAACAATATTAATAATAATAATTAATATAATAATAAAAGTGATAAATCATGTTTGAACTTTTCTGATCTGATCTGATCTGAATGTTTCTGATCTGATCTGAATCTTTCTGATCTGATCTGATCTGATCTGAATCTTTCTGATCTGATCTGATCTGATCTGAATCTTTCTGATCTGATCTGATCTGAATCTTTCTGATCTGATCTGAATAAAATAAGAATAAGCAATAAGTAATAAGAATAAGACGAACAGAACAGCACCTAAATCACTAATCAATAAAGGATGGTAATGGGGGCGGGGACCCGTGGCGAACCGCCCCATGGGGAAAGGATGGGGCGGGGTTTGTGCGGGGTGGGGATGGGGATGGTCGGAGACCGGATGGGTGAGATATTTTTACGCCGTTAAAATATGGGGTGAAGGATGGAATTGCTACACCCGTCCCGTCCTCGCCCCGTCTCCCGTTATAAATATATACTCAAACATATATATACACATATAAATAATGTAAAAACATATTAGATTAAAATATATGCAGTACTCCGTATATAACAAACGCATATACATATACATATAGACATTCATAATTGTATACGGTTTAGTCAAGGTTAATGAATTAATACATATTACACTAGAATAATAATAAGCTAGTAATGATTAAAAATATTTATTATAAATGTTATATGAGTTTTAAGAGTGAGTAAATAAATACACACACATTTAAATGTAATATGTAATTAATTGTATTATAATAGTTGAGAATTTTAAAACGACGTACATGATGATAATATGTTTACTTATATTTTTACTTTAATTGTCTTCGATTCACAAAACTTACTCAAATTGAAGAATTATTAAAATTGGTGTTATTAACTTTTAACAAATACAATACTTCAGGGTTGCGTATGTATTTATCGTAGAACAAAGCTAAATTTTATTAACAAGCATTTCAGCCCAGTTGGTTGTGAGGTTACCGTGGCTAGTGGGAGGTCTCGAGTTCGAAACCCGCTAGGCACATAAAGGGTTGAAATCACATTTATCCCCAATGTGACGCACAATGGGCCTGCACAATGCACTTTTTCGCATCAAGCATAATATTTATAAAAGTGCCACCGTGATTATTTATATTAGCATGTATTGAGCAAAGTCCAAATGTGGCACTAGAAGGGCTCTATTTTGTATCACATTGGATTAAAGGTGAGTGTTCTCACGTTAAGCATCATTCTCATTGGAACCGTACCACATATATTTAATTATAATGGATTAAAAGTATATGCAAATACGATAAATTAAATCTATATGGGGCACCCGTGGGGGACAACGGGGTGGGGCGAGGATGGGGCGGGTCTGGGAGTAAGGGGGGATGCGGCAAACTTTTTAGACATGGGATTGGGGATGGGGGAGTGTACCCCGCCCCAAACCGCCCCATTGCCATCCCTAATAGTATCATACGGTATTAAGATCACATTAGTCATTGGGTGTAATATACTTTTCCGGTTTTCCCTATATTCTAAAATAGATTTGTCCGCGATTTTCGATTAAATCAGAACCGTCAATTTTTGAAGTAGTACTTGAACCGTGTATGCATCCTATTCGGAATCATAGTTGCTTGTTCTTGTTCCGAATTACACATTAAGTCAAATGCATAAATGGCACCTTAACTATTGGTAATGTTACATTTTGGTATCTTAACTCTTAAATGAATCATAACGGTGCCTTTAACTATACATAAATGTTTCGAATTGAAATTTTACTCAAATTTCCGACCAAAAAATCACACATGACAGCCAGAATTCTATGTGTAAAATCTATTTCACCTTATTTGTGTCCTTGTGGTCACTATATGGTGACTGTACATATGAAATTTTAATCGTTATGAATGATTTGTTTGTCGAAAATTTGAATAAAATCTCAATTCGAAAACATTTATGTATAGTTAAGGTACAATCTTGATTCATTTAAGAGTTGAGGTACCAAAATACAACATTACCAATAATTAAGATATGCATTGCCCCCTTCCAGACTTCCTGTTAGAAATTGGACAGTTCTGATCCGAGTCGCTTTTCGAAATAAAATATAAAACTAAATATTATGGAGTAATAATCATAGTTGTAGTTGTCTTATTAACAATAAAATAATGATTATATTATGATTATTTGTTGTTCCTTTTTTGTCATCACTGTTTATAAAAAGATTATAACAAATATAAGTAATAAGTATACATAATTTAGTAATCAGTAACTTGTAGATTTATACAACCTACTTTATAACTATTTAATTATTAAATACTTGAATATTGACTTGGTTTTAGCCATAATAATTACTCCGTATTAATTGTACTGATTTTTTGGGAACTCTTAATCAAATACTCTTATTAGCTATTATTACTAAATCTATTTTTAAAATATTAACTAAGGTTTTAAATATAAAAAAAAAAGTAATATAAAAACCCGGAAAACCAAACTGGATAGAAATTAGCACCATCTGTTTGGAACATGCGGTTCCAAGCGGTTGGGTTCTCATTCCAGTTGAGTTTGGAATCAAGCACATCCCAATTCTTAAAACTAGAGGTCTAGAGTGTGTACTGTTTTTGTTCAAGATTTATGTCAAGTTTTTAACGTTTTCCATTATTTTTCGTCCAAGTCCTTGGTATAGTAACCTTTTTTAAAGAGGAACATAATTAATTATACCGAATTTATAAAATTGTCTTACTATGAATGAATGTTTTTAGTTTGCTGATCTGGTCTGATAAATGTCTGGTCTCTATGTATTTTATAATTACGAATAGCGGAATATGGGTGGGCCCGGGCCAAGTCGGTTCCGATTCGGGCCTGGGCCCAACCGGGCTTTTGTTTGGGAAGTAGGGAACCGGCCCGGGTAGCCAGCGGTTCTGGGCCGGGCCAGTTTCCGGTTCAATTTTTTTTTTTTTCTAAATAACCTTCGACCCCCCCCAACACCCAGCCCAACCCGGTAGAAAGTAAAAAAAATGAAAAAAAATGGGCCCGCACCGGGATTAGACAGGTTCCGGTTGGCCCGAACAGTCCCCAAGACCGGGTACCGGGCCGGGCCCAAACAGTACCGGGTCGGTCCGGTTCCGGGCCGGACGGCCCGACCCGAGTCCACCCCTGATTACAAAAGTCTGATCTAATCTAGTTTGTTTAAGTTTGATCTAATCTGAGACTGAAAACAATCCAAGTAAAAACATCATATACCTCGACCAGAAAAGAAAATAGATCATCGCTATAACAATGATTTTCATAATTAACTCCCAGACTTGAATAAATAAATAAAAACACATATAAATCGAAAAATATGTTTTTAGAGATCATATCACCAAACGGGTTCAGAACAAAACAATTAACCAGGTAAAACAATTGATGATTTCCAGTATCTAAAATGAGGAGAACGTGAGTTCAGTAATCAGTAATAAGCATCACATGATTTTTTCTCTAATCCTATCAAAAGAAATCCTTTTTAAATGCTTTGTAACATGCTACAAATCGAATTGGATATCCGGGATGCGAAATCCTCATCCGCGGCAATGACGATGGTTGTATCTTCTGCAATTTCAATCAATGCTTCATTATGCTCTTCTGAGACTTTTAAAACAGTAGTAGTAGTAGTATTAACCGTATTAGTAGCTGTGTTGATTCCCATCTTCTGTAAAGCGGCCATAAGTGACTCCGGGTTGACTCTTCCCCAACAAACCACTGGTCTACGTTGAGAAGAAGATGCTGTTCTATCACTTCCAAACACCAACCGATACCTGCCACCCTCCAAGAACAACTCCCCCTTTAGCCTTGCCATATCCTTATCGCCTTCTTGCATAGGCTG